CGAAGTAATAAGGCTCCAAGAAATTACTATATTATTGGTCGTGTTGTTGTGCCATCTGGTAGATATTTGCATGTTTCAAAAGAACCTAAAAGCATGTCACTCCTAGAAGTTTTTTTTTAATTCGTTTAGTTGGGGGTGGAGTCCAACTGGGTCCACTCGGCACGACGGCCACTGATTGGCCTATTGTAGCCTGCCCCGGGTGATTATGATGATGGAGAATTTGGTGGAATGAAGATTGGCAGAGGAAACCGAAGTACTCGGAGAAAACCCGCCCCAGCGCCACTTTGTCCACCACAAATCCCACTTGACCAGACCCGGAATCGAACCCGGGCCGCCGCGGTTGGAAGCCAGCGACTAACTGCTTGGTTACTTTCTACCAGACTACCCAGCGTCACATCCCACCAGGAATCTTCTTGGTGCTCATTTCTGTAGGGGAAAAAGAATTTTCTCTTCTACACACTGTCCAGGCCGACTCTGTGGCCCACCCAACCTCATATCCAATACGTACAGGAGGAGGGGGGGGGTCTTTTCCTGGGGTTAAAGTGGACGGGACGTAAAGTCGACCACTAACCTTCATCTAGTACCGAATTCAAGAAAGGTGGAGCTATACCTCCACCCCCATATGTCTTCATGGTTTGCGCCGGGAAAACTTCATCTTTACTTTCTGCCACTATAAAAATCTGCTGTCACAAAATCAATCACACTTCAAGAAATATCTGAATTAAAGTTATATATCTTTATGTGACGTACCTTTTATTATGCATGTTTTTTTACAATGAGTTTTTAGGAAAAAAAAACGATGAAGATGGATCTGAGTTTCATGTAAAGCAAGATGTATACTACACTGATTCGAATCAATATTTGATTTATCTTGTTCTTGCAGACTCCTTCCGCGAATACCAAATTACATATAAATCAGTTTAACGCGGTTTTAGGGGACGTTTAGGTTTACGTAATGCAGTCCTTAATCTCTCCTTCCTTCCCCGAAATCTCTTATCATAATATGTTCTTCTGATAACAAGATAATTCACCTTCCATAGTTCACTCTCAGACTGTCTCAAGAAATGCCAACCGTTTTGCGTAAATGGGAGGACAAGAACAGAATTTCTTACATGAACAAAGTTTGACAATGCGTCCCCCTCAAATCATTCATCATTAAGAGTGTCACGCGGTAGCGTAGTTGGTTGAGGCACTATGCTACAAGCCGGAAGGTGGCGGATTCAAGTCCCAATGAAGTGAATTTTTTTTTTTCAATTGACCTAATCCTTCCAGCCGCACTATGGCCCTGGGGTCGACTCAGCCTCTAACAGAAATGAGTACCAGGAATCTTTCTGGGGGTAAAGGGCGGCCGGCGTGTAAGGCTGACAACCTTACCGCCATCTGTGAGACGATTGTCTAGATAATTTGGGACCCTCAAAGTCTCACAACCCTATTGGGCCTTCACGGCCTGTTACCTTTACCTTAGCTTACTATCAATTATTGTACAAATTATACAGGTGTATCGGGAGGAATGGTCAATATTCTGGGAGGTCACAGTACCGGTTATTCTAAGCAGAAAAGTGTGAATGTACATGTGTCCTACTCCGAAAGGTTTCACTGTACAGACGAGCAACACGCCAAGTCCTCACACGAACTACAAAGTGCATTGATGTAGGCGGTAGTATTTTCCAAAATGTATTACACTAGGTAAACTGTACCAACTCTGTCACAAACAAAAAACTAAAAACAAAATCGGTGGCTTAAGTCCGCAAGCGAACTATACCGACCGAGCGACCTCCGCTTGTCGGCGAAGTTAGTGCCAACTTTAGAGGACAGAGGGTGTCGCGTGGTCAGCGCAACGAATCCCCACGGCCGTTAATTTCGGTTCTCTAGACCGGAACCAACTTTGTCACTTGAACAAGAAATACCGATATTAGAAACAGTACGTAATAGCTCTTTCTTAACAATTTTGGAACTGTACATTGAAATAGCTCTATCTCGGAAACCGCTCGGAATAGGACCCATGTACGAGTACATACACACTTTTTATTTAGAATGATTCATACTATGACCTCCCAGGATATTGAACTTTCCTCCTGCTACACTCTGTATTCCTAACTTTCGAATGAGCTGTAGCTGTTATTCGAGCATGGTGTGGACTGGATTAAACTGGCTCAGAATATGATTCAGTAGCGAAATTTTGTAAATATGACAAAGACGCTTCTAGTTCTATTAAAGGTGGAGAATTTCTTGACTGTCTCAGTAATTATCAGTTCATAAAAAAAGAAGTCAGCTCCCTGAAGTTACCTGAGAATAAATTGAAAACTTTTGGGTCCACGAAAGATGAAACGGAACTGAAATCACTTAAAGATTTTTTAAGTTCTTACGGCGGTAACTATGAAGATTACTGTTTCGTGGAATGTGGCGGCATTAGTCTAGTTTCGGATGCACCTGCTGCAAGCTCAATCTAAACGTTTATAATTATATACGAGAACACACGGAGTTATATACCAGAACTCCGCAATCGTAAAGTAAAGGGAAGTATCATAAGTTAATAATTTTATACATATATATATTGTTGTTACTCACTTACTTACTTACTTACTTACTTACTTACTTACTCACTCAAGGAGCTGAGCCCTTCCTGAGAAAGTGCCAATTGTGCAGCTACTCAAGAATTTCCCAGCACTTTACAGAACCCGAAGGTTCACTACCGTGTGCGCAAGAACCCTCCACTGGTCCATATCCTGAGCCAGATCAATCCAATTCATACCATCCCATCCTATCTCTCTAACATCCATTTTAATATTGTCCACCCACCTACACCTTGGTCTTCCCAGTGGTCTTTTTCCTTCTGGCTTTCCCACCAATATCCTACATGCATTCGTCTTCTCCCCCATTAGTGTTTTATGCCCTGCCCACCTCATCCTTCTTGACTTGATCATTCTAATTATACTTGGAGAAGAGTACAAGTTATGAAACTCCTCATTATGCAGTTTTCACCAACCTGCTGTCACCTCATCTCTCTTCGGTCCAAATATTCTCCTCAACACCCTCAGTCTATGATCCTCCCTTAAAGTCAGAGACCGAGTAGTACATTATTGTTAGGAAGGTCAAATTAAGAAAGGTGCAATCGGTCGGTCACAAGCATGAGAGAAGTAGGAAACATTACAAAATTTTATAAAGGAAACTCCCTGAGACCATTAGAGATGTCTAGGATGGAGGACAATAAGGCATTAAAGAATCTGGTTAAAAGAAATTAAAGTGGAAGTTGTGGTAATGGGTGGCCGGCAGGTAAGGCTGACAACCTCACCGCCATCTGTGAGCCAAATATCTAGAAAATATGAGAGCCTCCATGTCTCACAACCTTATGGGCCTCTACGGCCTGTTTCAGGGATAGCTTTACTTTTTTTTTGTTGGGGTAAAGTAAAGTTGCCTGTGTGTAGGCACCATATCATAAAGATGTATGAGGGAGTAAACGTAAAACCTACATGTATTCCTAACATAGGAACTAGATGGTAGTCATCTTCTCGCTCCGGCCGCTTTAACCCCAGGGAAAACCACTATTAAAATGTATCTGTGGGAAATACAAAATTCATTGATTTGGGAAGAGCCAGGTGAATAATGGATCATGTTTCTATAAAGAGGATTTCGTGAACATGTAACAGTGAGACCCTGTAAAAATATACAATTTCAACATTTGGGCAACTACTTCTCGGAGATCTTATTTAATTTGCAATGAAACAAGAACTGCAATAATTTTAGGTACGTAATGAAAGTAACTAAACTCTCTGATATTAAAAACCCGGAAGTTTCCTGTCGTTAACAAAATAACCCATCACTGGACCTCTCTCGTGCCAATTAACTCCCGTAAAATTTGTCTTAAATTTCCCGGAAAGCCTTCTTAACATTATCATACGTCCGTCTCGATCTTTCAGGCATAAGATTTCAGTAAACTGACCGGAGGTTAAAATGCCATGCAGCCTCAGACCTCGTCACCACCTTCAGTAGGCATCCGCCTTTACCTATGATTCCACCAGACATTTTTAAAATAAAAAAATACCAACTTTTAAACAACACAAGGAAAGTGTATGAAATGTCTCATTGGGATCCAAAGGATTTGTACCGCCTCACCCCTTCGAGGGGTTGCAATCCATCCGTCATTTCTTCTTAGAAACTTTGCCTGACGTGTATTCCAGAAACACAGAGTCATTGTGTTGATGAATCGGTACAGCTGTCTGCTCTTAATGTATGTGGTTCCATAATCTTAATGCCCACGTGTAAAACACCGTGATTTGCCGCGAATCTCCTTTGTATAGAATCGCAAATTATTGATCAGAAATTGTGGGTCAAATCTCCAGTACCTCGAGAATTAGGAGGCGGGGATAATCACACCTACCTTCATTCCAGCCCGCCGTTATATCCCCAGTAAGGCGGCTGTCATAGATAGCAAGAGGTGGGCCGATACCTTGCCATTATTCGGACACGGAAATTCACCTCTAAGAACATTACAGTTCAGTGAGAAATGATGCAGGTACTTACCCTGTTAGAAGAGCAGGGATTGGACGCAGGGCAAAATAAATCAGTCGTCCATCACACCACTGAATATGTATAAAAAATTACACTCACACAAAAGCAACAGCAACACACAAATAATTTCACTCGCGGGACAGCGAAGGAATGCCAGTTGCTGCCACAGACCCATGTCTACTAGTCTGACTCAGCCATTTATTGCGCAGAAGCGATTGCGCAGAAATAGTATCTTGCACACAGGCGAGAACATGTGTTTGCTACCGTAGTTACGAACAACACGTCAATTCTGCATTCCAAATGCTGTAGCTGATCCAGGAACGCTATGTGCTGCCATCTGTATGTGTCTTTATAACTACATTCTAAGCGCCACAGTTTGATCGACTGTGCTGCTGTTCTGTGTGTGTGTGTGTGTGTGTGTGTGTGCTTTTGACGTACACATTTGTAGATCTGAACCAATCAAACACCAGTTCTGTGAAGTGGTAAAATCACGGCACGTAGATAGCAGGACTAGCAGGATCAGCAAGTTGCAATTTTGATTTCGGTATAATCATGGACTTAAATATAATGAAAATATGGCTTTCGGAATGCTCAATAAAACAACAACAGGAAAGATAATAGTCTTCCTTTCCTAAAATATGGACACACCTGTAATATAAGTCACTTGTGTAATTTCACTATGAAATGAACAGATATGCTTTGTTAGCGTATTTTGCACACATTGGCAGTGTTGGAAGATACGGGACAGAAGGCAGTGTAATCGTTAGATTATAATTGGGAAGGATTGCATTTGTATATTACAATGGGAGTGCCGAAATTTTTTAGATGGATAAGTGAAAGATATCCGTGTTTAAGTGAAGTTATTAAGGAGTATCAGGTACCGTCACCATCGAAATGTGAAGTTTGAAGCAGTAAAATTTGTTTCAGGTTAAGATCACGGTTGCTATCTAATTATGCAATCTTGTTTCAGGTCCCAGAATTTGACAATTTATACTTGGATATGAACGGTATTATTCACACATGTTCACATCCAAACGATTTCGACCCTCATTTCAGAATAACAGAAGAAAAGATTTTAAAGGATATTTTTCACTACATTGAAGTAAGTTTTCAAATTATTTGCACTGAAGGTAATTCAGAATTCACACTGATGTAATCTGAATCTTGACATTTCGTTTTCTGCAGGTTCTATTTCGAATGATTCGGCCCCAGAAATTGTTTTTCATGGCAGTTGATGGGGTTGCTCCAAGAGCTAAAATGAACCAACAAAGAGGTCGCAGGTGGGTCATAAAGAACTCATTGTCTTTGTAATGGTAAAGTGGAAGGAGAGACATGGCATTGTCTGGTCAGTTGAAGCTCACAGTATTGTAGGTATTGTAGGTTGATTTGCAAGAACATTTGTGAGTGATAACAGCTTAGTATATAGTGGTGCACTACAGAGATAGATAATGCAACATTGTTAGTAACTTGAGGGTTCATTATTTCTTTACTTAAAATAATGTATTTTTCTGATTAATAATTAAAAAACTAAGTAGTAGTTTTGTATTTAGAGGTATGCATCTGGCAATGAAAATGTCAGATCTTTGGCTAAATAACTGGGTTGTTTACTAGTATGATACAGCGGCATGCAGTGCTGTTACAAGTAAAGGGGTTCCTGATCCAGTTTTACATTACTTAATTAGGTTAAACCTAATCTTCCTATTACCAAATTCGAAAAAGTGTAAAGAAATTTTGGACTTTTTGAAGGCATTAAATGGAATATGATTGTAACATTCAGTAGGATTTTAGAAGACTTTAGAAATTGCCTTTTAATGTGGTAGTAAGGTTTAAGTTTATTTTCAGACTATTTTGAAGGATTGTAATTAATTTATTTTTTATTTTATAACTGACTTTTTATTGCTTCAGACTGGGAACCTTTGAGTCCATTGTCAATAGTGTCACTTTGACCCAGACATAAGTTAGCATCTCTTAGTAGAAGATGTGTATGCAGTTTGAGCTTTGTGAGCATTACGATGGAATAACCAAGCATCTCAGTTGAGTGGGTAGCACTCCTGCCTCAATTTCTTGGCCTCAAGACTGGCTACCCAGACAGACATTTTTCATTGTTTTTCATGGTCTCTGCAGGCAGATGCCAGGTTAATACTCAAATTAGGTCATGACTGCTTCTTTCCACATCATTTCAAATTTGTTATTCATTAATCATTCAACCATTCACACTTTGAAGGTTGAGGTATTGATAGTATCTTTAAATAATTGAAAAGTGTGATAGACTAATGTCTCTACCTTCTGGATTAGCTGCTGAAATTTTCTCTGTGTTCAGTACATTTTGTATTAATCAAAGTGCTGTGTTCAAAATTAAGGTATGTAACTTCAGGATACAGTGACAACCTTGGGTAAATAAGATTACTTCTTGTGTGAGTCAGTAACTTCAAACTAAATTCTCTGACAGTTTAGGGGTCTTGTGTAGTTTAGGACAGTTACATTAGGATTAGCGACCAAATGGAACATGAATTCAGAAACTGGTCACTGTATTCTAAAATTTTTCCAACTACATCTCACATGTGCATAATGAAGTGACATTTTGAATACTACTGAATTGCTGAAGTGGATTTTGACAGTTAAATAACAGCACTTAACAAATCTCACATAAGCAACAGAAACCAAATAAAAATGTTTACCATTAAAGTAACTTATTACTTCAGGTTCCGATCAGCCAAGGAGGCAGAAATTCTTGAACAAAAGGCCCGTGAACGTGGTGAGGCTCTGCCCTCAGAGGCAAGGTTTGACTCAAACTGCATCACTCCAGGAACAGAGTTCATGGCTCAACTGCATGAGCAGCTTAAGTATTTTGTGACATACAAGGTCTCCACAGACACTCTGTGGCAGAATGTGAAAGTCATTCTGTCAGGACATGAGGTGAGAATTTCTGTCGTCTTTTCAGACTTCTTCATGGGATTTCCCTATTTTCATAAGTTCCCTTGTTCTGGAATTCCGCAACTATTGATCAGTTCAGCCCCCCATAGCTATCACTCATTTCAGTCCCCTTTTTACAAATTCTTTTTCACCCTTCTGTATTTGTATGTCATGTGCACCTAAATTTTGTAAAGTTAAATTGAAGAAAAAGCTTTACATATCAGGTGTGAAGAATTTATAGAATGGTTTCGAAATACATTAAGCTCTCAGACTTTTTCATTTGTTGCCCCACTGGTCATTTTATAAAAATACTATGGCCAAACCATAATTCCTCTTTTTTCCAAGAACTGTATTTTTTACAGTAAAATATGTTTGCTAATATCTCGATTGTTAACAGAAATTCTTTTTTCTGAGACCATGTTCTGCCCGCCTTGATCATCACATCCCATTCATTCAGAAGCACTTCATTAAACAACAGTCAATGAATTAAAAAACATCTTCAGAAACTTTTTTTTTGCCATTGCATAAAACAAAACAAAATTAATTTAAATAAAGAACATCATTGACAGTAGCTTTGAATTACCTGAAAAATATGAATGTTTATGAGCATAATGTGCAGTACATATTTTGGGACATGTTTGAAAGAATGAAATGCACATTATAGACTGGAAAATATAGTACTGTCTTTATTTCATGTGAAACATTATCTCTAAGACATTTTGAAGTTTGTTCTTGGATTGTACTAGTATTTCATCATGTCATCGACAAGTGGCAGGTCATATGCCCTTCTGTGTTTTTCTTTGACCAAAGAATTCTTAGATATTTATTGATACACACCAAAGAAGATAAAAATATATGGGGTACTGCAACAGCAGGCACTTGTGCAGATACAGGCAGGGTGCCATTTAAAAAGTATTCTTGAGGTTAAGATTAACATGACACTGCATGTGTCTATGTATGTTAAATAAAAACTGTTGGTTTACATGAAACTCACAGTGAATATTATGTCGCTGGCAAGTACCTCACTGCACTTTGTAATTTCCTGCCATTAACATGAACCAAATAAACGTCCTAATTGTACTTAAAACTTACTTACTTTAATTACTTACTCATGGAGCTTAGCCATTCTTGAGGAGCTGCCAATTCTGCCGCTACTGAAGAATTTCCCAGCATTTTATGGAATCCGAAGGTTCATTACCGTGTTCACAAGAGCTCTCCACTGGTCCCTATCCTGAGCCAGGTCAGTCCAATCCATACCTTTGTGTCTCTCTAAGATCCATTTTAATATTGTCCACCCACATACTCCTTGGTCTTCCCAGTGGTCTCTTTCCTTCTGCCTTTCGCACCAATGTCCTATATGCATTCCTCGTCTCCCCCATTCGTGCTACATGCTCTGCCCACCTCATCCTCCTTGAGTTGTACATAAGACTAGTTCATTAAATGTAGAGTTATGAAATTTTGTATAATCATAAAAAAGTAAAGTAAAAGTAAAGGTATCCCTGTAACAGGCCGTGGAGGTCCTTAGGGTTGTGAGACGTTAAGGTTCCCACATTTTCTAGACATTCGGCTCATAGATGGCGGCAAGGTTGTCAGCCCTATGTGCTGGCCGCCCTTTACCCCCAAGAATATTCCTGGTACTCATTTCTGTTAGAGGCTGAGTCGACCCCAGGGCCATAGTGTGGCTGGAAGGATTAGGTCAATTGAAGAAGTCAATTGACCTCATCGGGACTTGAACCCGTGACCTTCCGGCTTGTAGCACAGTGCCTCAACCAACTATCCTGCCGCATGCCCCTGTATAATCATACATCCTGAAAAATGTACAACGTTATTAAAATCATGTTCAACTTAAAAAAATGGAAGCATTACAAACAGATGAAGTATAAATTTGCTCTTAAGTGCCTTGATGATGATTGTTGGGCACTCTGATTATATTGTCATTTCTGGCTCCTATTGCAAGTGGTTTGTAGGCTGCCTTAGTCAAGCGTTTAGCTGCCATTTTGTTTTGTAATTGGTATAACCCTGGCAGAGTCAATTCATGCCCTTGTATGGATAGGGAAGATATTTTATGTATAAAATCGGAAGTTTTCATGGTGACTGGCTGCAGTGATAAAGAACAGAATCATTATTCTGATATTTCAGCAGAGATCACATTCAATTGGAGTCATTCAGGTAGCTCAACTTTGCTTAAACAATTCATACACTTGCATACTACAAAGTAACTCTTCGCTCCCAGCAACTTGGCTGCTGGCTTACTGGCTAACCAGGATATTTTTCTTGGTACACCAGTGGTTTCCAGTGTTTCACTGTAAAGAAGTGAATAACATATGTTCTATTTATATCCACAGATCCAAAAGCTACGTGCACCATAAAATGTCAGACGAAGGAAAAGAGGGTTCTGAAAGAGAAATATTTTATCTTGTCATGGCATGTTACCGTACTATATAATTTTGGTCCGATATAGTAGTATTCACAAAGCACTGATAAACAACCAACTTCAAACATGGAAGCAAAGTGGTAAGGAATGCTGAGCCAGATCAACTACAGCATATAATTCTCAAGAGAAGTGATATTGTGCTGGCTCATTTGTGGGATGGATGACCACTTGAATCTTCCTGTTCTTCATTTAGCTATTTCATTGTCAGTGAGAACTGATCTGTGTTTTATGTATGTGTATGTGTGCTTTAGACAAGCGTGTGCGTGTGTATATGATGATGCATGTTGCTTATCACGGCTTGTCCTTGTGGAGGAGGAAACAGTCTGTAAAACATCACTTTTGTTCTTTTTCAACTTGATTGAACATGTGGAAAGATAACAGTGCTAAATTCTTGTATTATATAGAGATGTTTTTATGTTGTAGACTCCAGGGGAAGGAGAACATAAGATAATGGACTACATACGATACATGAAGTCACAGCCTGACTATGACCAAAATACCCGTCACTGTCTATATGGGCTGGATGCAGACCTTATCATGTTGGGACTCTGTTCTCATGAACCTCACTTCTCCTTGCTGCGAGAGGAGGTCAAATATGGACGCAAGGCTAAACAACAGCGTACATCAACTCCTGAGGAAACAAAATTTTTCTTGTTACATCTCTCTCTGATGCGGGAATACTTGGAACTGGAGTTTGAAGTTCTCAAGACAACGTTGCCCTTTCCTTTTGATATTGAGAAAATCATAGATGACTGGGTAAGTACATACATATATATATTTTTTTTATTGATAGTGGGGTGGGACTAAGTCCCTTGTACTGTGGCCACTTCTGGCCTATTGTACCAGCCCCAGATGATAGGTGAGGGTGGTTGTGGAGCAATTGGTGGAATGAAGATTGGCAGGGGAAACCAAAGTACTGGGAGAAAACCTGCCCCAGCGCCACTTTGTCCACCACAAATCCCACTTGACCAGACCCGGGATCGAACCCGGGCTGCTGCGGTGGGAAGCCAGCGACTAACTGCTTGAGCTATGGCACGGCCTTACATACATATATTTCACATTTCACAAGTCCAAAATACAACAGACATGGAACTGGTCACAAGCATAATACAGACAAACAAACAAAGCAGAAAGACAATACAAAGCTAAACAAATACTGTAACTAATTTACTGTATGCTCCAAAAATTCATCAACTGTATAAAATGAGTTATTCATGAGATATGAAAATGAATTGTTTTTAAAACTGATTCTGTCCTTTCTAAGACTTTGAATTGTCTTTGGCAATCTGTTCGTAACCTAATACCAGTAAAACATAGTGCCCTTCTGGAAAACAGAAAGATTTGAAATTGGAATATAAATTTGATTTTTGCTTCTAGTGTTCAGGCCATGAACCTCTAAACCTGAACAGAAATTATTTTGATTATCTGTCGCAAACAGCATAAAAAAAGAAATATATATTCACATGACAATGGTAAAATATCTAATTTCTTAAAGAGACTTCTACACAAGTCTCTGGATCCCACTCCCAGTATAATCCTTATTAACAGCGGGTTTTGAACTAAAACAGTTCTGAGGGCTGGTAGGTAATTTATCCATATTTAATTTGAAGGAGGTGAAATCACACTAAGATTGAAATTAAAAGAACTTTAGTTTTACCTGTTTGGCCACACCATAGCTCGAGCGAATAGTTGCTGGCTTCCTACCGCGGCGGCCCGGGTTCGATCCTGGGTCTGG